AGAGAGAGAGAGAGAGAGAGAATTAACGTTGCGTAACACGACGACGCGTAAGAGGACACACTTTGTAATCTAGTTGTTCCTTCTATAGCCCCCCCGTTCCCTTCGTTTCTCCTCCGCGTCGCCACGCACGATCGATCCCCGCGAACGAAGAAACGTGTCATCCTGGACGAAGGGGGATCCGAGGATCGCTGCTGGGCGCGCACGAGGATCTAATTTCCTTGTTAAAACCTCTACCAGTAAAGTATTTATATATGTATAGTATATGTATATATATATACACACGACGCGCAACACACAAGACTGTTCCCTACACACGTGGCGAGCGATTTAATCGGCCGCGGAAAATTCAAGAGAAACGCCGCGATGCCTCGGGGAAGTCGCGGAAATACCGTTAAAATCACCGGTTCGCACGCCGCGTCTTGCGGTCTCGACGCGAGGAGGACTGAAACACGCCGCGACGTGAAACTCTGCGATTTTTAACGGTTCCGTCTCGGATTAGTTAATTCCTTCTGAAAAGCCCTCTCTCTCGCGCGCGCCGGGGGTGTTCTCCGACTTCCGTTACCGATTAATTTACGCCACGCGGGGAACGCAGCGCGCGCGATACAGAGTGTATTCAAAAACGAAGTGATCTTATTACTTGCCCGCGAAAAATTTTAATATTCGATGCTAAGTAGTAAAATCGCGAGAGCGATCGAATGCAGATGAACGGAGATAGCCGATATGTCGGTTTTGTGCCGTTCATCTTCGATCCGCTCGACGGTATTCCAAATATTTGCTTCAAATATTCAGCTATTTAATCTCCCCGATGAAGCTTTTAGTAAGGAAGAGGATCGCAAATTTCATGGGGATATATTCGTACGTGCATTTCTCGAGACACTCTGTATACCGCGCGCCGGATGTGAGAATGGCAAGTGCCAAGGAGAGCCATCGAGAGCCGTAGCTCGATAAATCGTACTGCGACCGACTGAATTTTTGGACCCAACTTTTTATTATCGTCTAGCATTCCTACGTTTAATCTCGCTCCCCTGCTCACCCTCTTCTTCCTACCCACCATCGTTCTTCATATTTCAGTTATCACTATCGTTAATATTATTATCAAGCAATTACTACTAGTATTTTGTATTATAGGTATTGTATTGTAAATTGCAAAGTACGTGCAATGTTTCGACGATGAATAATAATCAATCATGTTCAACTAATCTGAGAGGCTTTATTTTTACCTTTTACCTTTTACAAATTTTCGGTAACGCTGTCAACGCCGACACCTGATTTCACCAATGACCCTGAACGCCCCTGAAAAATCCAGTACCGGTCATCATTTTGGATCATACCAATCACCATCATAGCAATCAATATGCTAGTAATGCATCGCGGGATATTTCGGGATATATTAAAGCGTTATTCATTTTATTTCAAATCGCAATCTTATAACTTATATTTGTATCAAAAGTTTGAGTCATAAGAAAATTTTCGACTAGTAATGTTAGGGCAATAATTAAATCGCTAACTAAAGATTTAATGGATCTGAAAATATAATGAAATTTTGCTGAAATGTATTTTAAATGCTCTCTCAATTGACCCCATTTCATTGTTCCATCCATATTTCAGTAAAAATTCAGTTTTCAGTTACCTAATTTCGTTATATTTAATATTTAAAAAAATCTACTATTTTTCAACGGTATAATTTAACTCTCCTTATTTTTCACAGTAATTACATTACATTCATTTTGAAATATGTATTCAGTAATTTTTCAATAATTTTATTTCATCGATTTCAGCAAAATATTTCCAGGGAATAAGATGGTGTTATTTGACGTGGATGAAGATTAGGAAATCGCCCCATCATTTTCGGGATATGGTATTTCGAGAATGGTATTGAAGTGAAGAGACAACAAGAACATACGATATCGCAACCGTGAAATTATTATTATTCTCTTACAATATCTATCTCTTTAATGTTCTGTTCTTGAGCTATAAACCGTCATTCGTGTTTGTACATGAAAGTATCCAAAAAAGACAATGCACTGCTCGGATATTTCTCTCTTATTCGTCTCTCATTCGCTCGGACTTCGGGAAAAGCTCCCGCGCGCGCTTCTCTCGCTCCTCTCTCCTATTATTCCGAATTTTCCCTCTTTTTTTTACCCCCCTCCCCCCCTCGTAGAACCACTATGTGGATTTTAATGAACACCGGCGGTGCTTTCAACGATCGGTCGATCCACACAATGAACGCAACTTGTCTTTTCCTTTTATTATTATTTGGCAGTGCGAAACAACCGTGCTCGTTCGCTTCCTCTTTCGCTACGCAATTCGAGTCTTGTCGAGTCTTGTCGAGATATGAGAAACGCTACATCGGCTATACATCAACCTCGGTGAAACGGCGAGAAATCGTGAGATCGTTCGGGCCCCGAAAAAAAATTCGGTCCGAATATATTTCAGGTGATTGGTCGCGCCGCTCGATCCTCGCCGCTCCGTCCATAGCGCGAAAAATATCGTCTTTCCTTTTCCCTTTTTAAACATCTACAGGGCTCGCGAGATAACGAAGCTGAATTTTAATTTAGGTGGGGCTCACCAGTTTTCATCGTTCCGCGCGCGTATATATACTTCGAGTCTCTTTCTACACGCTATAAACCATATTAGTTTAAACTATGCAATATATTTTTCTACTTTTATACAAGTACAAGCACTTCTCTAATCGAAGCAATCTCGCGGGGCCGCGAGCAGATCATTAAAGTCGTTAAAGGGTTTCAGCAAGCACAATAAGGATGTCCATCATAATAATATATTTTAATATATACACTATTTATTTAAAAAATAATTTTAAAAAAATCGATCGAATAAGATTGACGTGGTAATTTTTTACAGGACTCTTTGGAACTGAGGAAGAAAGACGTACCTCTAATACTGATTACACGAATTAACGATGTTTCGCTAATTAGAACTTAGGCGGCCCTCGTCGCGATCGCTCGAACTCTCTTCTCGTCACACTTTTACATAGAATTTATAATAAATGCAAACACTATATCTGTAATTAGCTATACTTATATGCACATATCTCGGTAGGAGGAAGGGGGGGGCCTTTGCATATCGCGACAACACATTCAATTATTTACAAGTCCCCGAGCCGCGGCAAAGAAACCCGGTCGAAAATCATATATGTGTCTCGATCTGCGTCCCGCCGCCGCCGCCGCCCGCTTAAAATAATATCCCGCCACGACCGTCTTCTCCCGACCTTCGGTGTGCTGCTGCCTTTTTCCTTTATACATTTACAAAGCCTTGTAACTTCTATCGACACGCTTGCTTACATCCACGTACAGTGACGACCGGGTCCGAGGAAAACTGGCGTGCCCCACCGCGCCGAGCCCTTATTCGCACGTTTGTCAACGTGCAACTCTAGCTAGTTTCCTTCTTTCCGTCAACGCCGTGTGAGATCCTCGAGTTTTGTATACGTGTGCTCGTAGAAATCCGCTCTATCGGTCTTCTTCCAGAACGCTCCAGGAAATTCCACGCGAAAGTATCGGTTGCTTTCATTTCATACCCGGGTAAGTATTGATCAAAACGTCCGATGAATTAACGCAATAGATTTCCGTCTTTCCTTGATTTCTCATCTTCGCCAATTTTTTTCAGCTTAAAATTTATGCAGTTAACATTCTGAATGCTCCCCAAGCCTTTTGCGTGGATTTTTTGAGAAAAAGCGATAAAAAAATTGTTCTCTGAAAAACGACCCAGCCAGAAATGATTAGAATCGACATCAACTCGACGAAGGTATGTACGTCGATAAATAGTCGATGTTAAATATTGGTTAATATTTTGTCATCTTCGATCTCATCATAATTGGTTTTATGTCAATTAAGCAATCGCGAATATTTCTGCAAGATTTCTATTGTTCTTTCGGTCAAATATTGGCTGATATCTTGTCATCTTCAACCTCATCACAATATTCACAATTATTTTTATGTTAATTGAGCAATTGCGAATACCTCTGCAAGATTTCTATTGCTGTTTCGGTCAACTCTGCACCGAATCAGTGCAAAGCACAATATTCATCAGACAGCATAATATTATATATATATATATATATATATATATATAGAGAGAGAGAGAGAGAGAGAGAGAGATCTTCTAGAAATCTTCTAGAAATAAATCACTCAATTAACAGAAAGGCAATTATGATAAAATCAAAGATGACAAAATATCGACATCGGCCATTTATCGACACTTCGATATCGATTTAACTAATTATTTATAGCTGGGGAGAGATACTTTGCATACTACTAGATAATTAATTCAGTGAGGTTTGTAATTAAGTCGTGATTAAGTAAATATACGGAGAATCTCACAGGTAAAATTTCTTTCGTATTGCTTTCATTTGCGCTTTCTTCTTCTAATTTTTGCAAAAATACGACGCCTACAGAAATCCTGTACCCCTCCATACTCTCGCATTCCTCCTCTTTCATTCATCCCTTTCATTCTTTTCCTTTCGCGTGCCCATCATTTTTTGTCCTATATTAATTACAGCTAATCTCTCACTCTCTCTTTCTCTCTCTCTCTCTTTCTCACGTTCTCGCACACACCGTTCAAAAGAAGTAAATCTACGACGTATATATTTATGTTGTGTATGTGTATGTCTGTGTGTTCCGCAAAGTTCTTTCCAAAAACCCGATAGGAAAAAAAAAGAATAAGTGTTCGCATATTTCGCTTTACTATATTTTCCGCTCTTTTTTCCAATGCTAATACAGACCTAATTAACTTAGAGAACACTTTATGTTTCTCTTAAATGTACGCCCGTATTATTTAGTGCATTGCGCAGCATCGCGTGAATTGATTTATAATTTATATAATTCTATTTTTTAAAAACCCGCACGAAACGTGTAAAAAAAAGAACACCAGAAATCATAGAAGTGAGATGATTTCCGTTCAGGTCAGACTTCGTGCACTAGAAAAACGTATACAAATCGTTTTACGCGTGCCCCCCCCCCCCCCCCCAGTTCTCTTTCAGCCTTCCGTCTCTTTATTATCATTATTATAAAAAAATCGACATTGATTCTACAACGATAATTTAGAATTGTCAGCAGGCCGATACGAACGATGGTAAATACACGAAATGCTACAGTTACGCGTGTGTGTATGTGTGTGGCTAGGCCACGTGTATTTTTCAATATTCTTCACAGTTCACAGAGAAAAATTTATTCACCGCCGTCGATTCGGACGTGCTAAGAAATTCGGCCGTCACGCGACAGCGTAAAGAAATTGTTTTAGCTAAATGTAATCGGTTCGTTTTCTTGGCGAGCGACAATAAACACAGGTGCGACTCTTATCCGCGATTAGTAGAAGGGGAAAAAACGAGAGAACGTAACGTATGAGAAAATACTTAATCGGAATTAGACCCGCCAATTACATAATTATACAAAGCATAATTATACAAGAGCGTCCTAAACATATTCGCAATCTCGAATAAACTTATCGTAAACAGGATCGCTAGGGTATCAAACCGAGCTCGTCCGGAAAAATTACCACGAAACTAAAATTCCTTTATTGTACTTTTATGTTATTCTCGTATTGCCGATCCGCTCGAATTTAATTTTACATTCGCGAGAAGTAGATAATATAACTGGAAGGACCTTCGAAGAGTGCATTCCTCTCCGTGTCTCACTCTTTTTACCATTTGTCGCGGTTCTTCCATTCCACGAGATCAAGCGCGATCAGATAAACCGAGAGTTCTTTCTATCGTCTCACCTTTACGCTAATACTACAAAAATGATTTTTTTTTTTAAAGAATAAGAACTTAATAACTAACGGAACCTCTGCTCAGCTCTTTTTTCTCTCTCTCTAAATAAATTATATCTAAATATCAACTAAAGAGTCGTGAAGTACGATCGATCTAATTGGTCGGTTGCAAAGAAAGACATGTTCCGTGAAACGATTATTTGTTGCCAGAAATGGCAGATAAGTTTTCACGTACGTAAAAGATTGGTCCCTTACCTAATCGATACAATCTTGACTGACGACAATCCGTTTTACAATGAGCAGAGATCGTGTGACAGAAAATTGGCAAGGTGAAATGATAGAAACAACGGTCGGAAGGAGAAATAATCGCGCCACAAAAGAACAAAAGTTAGACGATGAACGTATGAATGATCGAAACACAATGAGATATGAAATGCGGATGTCGAAGAGAAGCAAGGATTAAATATACAATTTTCACTTCACTCGAAACTAACGCAAACGTTTAAAATACGTCACAAAGATACCCTTATTTTTCGAGCATCTTTTAAGCAACGTATCTCGATTTTTGTGTTATTTGTACATCTTGATATATTGATATTACTCTTATAACAACTCTTCTTCGCTCCTTAAACTTTTATATCTTATCGTGTTTCGGCCCGAAAGCGGGATCACGAAGAACACATGAACGATTCCTCACGAAACATCGTATGGCATTAAGGAGTCGTCCCGATAAAACTTTGAATCGATTCGAAACGCGAGTAAACAGGACTCCCCGGCAGAACGCGTGATATCTCTTTTCACCCTCGTCCTGTTCTGTATATGTCTCACTGGCAGTGCCTTAGATCACGTGCACGACGAAATTTGGCAGTGCGCGATACATGAGCGCTCGGAGAGAATATCGCCGGTTTTAAAGAAAACTATAAAAATTAAATAATTACTTTTCTAAAGCTAAAAATAAATCATCACTCCATTTAGATTTAGAACACAGGTTCAGGGCGCGAATAATTAATTGTCCTAAGTTTACGGATATCGTCCAAACGTAAAAATTAAATTCAGCTTACGGCATAATTTTCAAATTAACTTGCAAAGCGTTATGTAAATGACTTTCTTTAGGAACGGCGATATAGACTCGAAGGATGTACAAATCCGGGAACAGTGGCTGCGGCTAGGCCGTGTGTGTATATATGTGTGTGTATGAATGTACGTATAAAGAGAAAAGAGCCGACGACGAGTTTCTTAGAAGCACGTTATGAACGAATATATGCTCGTGCAATAGAGAGAGATACTACGTTAGAGGCGCGCCGTTAGAACGACGGGGCTGGCAGTGCGTGATTCTGGCAGTGACGCGTTTATATTATCCGGTGTTGATCCTTCGGTCCCTTCAAAAGGAAGGAAGGAAGGAAATCCACCGCCGTATGCCGCCCTCGCGGGGACGCTGTGCTCGAAAATCAACGGATACAGAGAGATATATCTTCTTTTTAGATAGCTTTCGCGTACTCGCGAGTGGCTTGCCTCAACGGCGACGAGTAACAAGCCCGCGGCTGCGCGAGTACAGGGTTTTCGTGTAATATGCCGTTTCGTTACGATAATTTCAACTAAGTATTTACATTTACAACTTCGCGGCCTCGCGGTTCGCGATGCGCCGCGCACGCCGCGCGCACGGAACACCCCCCCTTCACACGCGGGCAGTTTTGAGAAAAAGTAAATTGTCATTCATTAAAATATCATGTCCCATGGGACGGACGTGACGACGACGCGTTATCGGAATGGCCGCGCTTCTTGTTACATGCATCCTCGCGCGTCAGCTAGAGATCTATTCGGTTATACACTTACAATCATACTTTATAATAATAGTAAGAATAATTAATTGATTAATTATGTCGTAGAGCTCTTAATTACAGTTATATTGGCAGTGTTTCTTAGCTGGTGTGTAAATGACGTACCGTCTTTGTCTGTCTGTGTGTCACATACGGTCTCCATTTCTCTCTCCAACTCTCTCTCTCTCCATCCTTCATTCACATTTTATCTACTCATCCATTCCTATTTTCTCACTCAGTCGTCTCATCAATTTCTCATTCAACGCACTTTCAATCATTCAACACACACGACACGACGTATATTCTTCTCCTTCGCGAGTCTTAATTTACATGAAGTTCTATTCGCTACGCATGTACATGCACGCGGCGTTGCTGCTCCGCGATCGTTCACAAGCATTCATGGTCGCAAAATTTATCTTTTTTTACAACCGCGATAAACTATGTACGCGCGGGAGCGGCGACGCGTGCACGTCTTGCTCTTTGTTCACTCCCTTTATAACATTCTTCGCTTAACAAGTCGTGGGAAATGTAACACAGCCTACGTAATTTACCCCTTTTGAGGGTAACAGCTCATCGGTTGCGGTCGCGCAGCATGTTAACTACTCCCAGTTTTCTTCATCTTAGCACTCGATTAAATTTTGTGCTCTCTCGTGCGGCGAGCGTACGTTAACACGCTGCGCGAGACTCAGCAGAAAGATAAAAGTAACGCGATGATGAAGTACACGAAAACACGTTTCAGGCACGGAAACGAGGCAAGCTCGATGCCGTGCGCCTCTCTCTACAAAAAGCTGGCTCGGGCATGCCTCGGGCCCTGAGAACACTATCATTTCCTTAATTTTGTTTTTTTGTACATCGCCTCTCCGTTCCATCTCTACGAAGAACGAAGAGAAACAATCCTCGTTAGAAACCTCGGGTGGCGTACGTGTCGTCCGATTATTCCGCAATCTTTCAATTTCGTGCCGAGCTTTTCAAGCCTGGGAGACTGTCAACCCCATTCAGGGAAATAACGGCGAATTCGGAGCATTATCACTCGGTCTCTCTTACACACACGCATGCACGCTTTCATCCGTACTGTCTTGCATCCTCACCTAACAGCCTAAACCCGCCCTTCCCCGATTTTCTCTAAGTCTCTCATACAATCCCGATACAGTCTTCTGCGCCCGCTTCGCGCTGTCCACGATCCTCTTCTTTCTTCCCGTGTCTCTTCCTCTTCGTGTCCCATTTCATGTCATGACGACGACCAACGCGAGTTTCTACCGAGTTGTAAATCGAGGTAGACGTATCTTCTCTCTTCTTTTACCTTTCTCTCGAAGCATCGTCGGAGATCGCAAAGACCATCAGTTCCCGGAAGTGCCAAGGGGCCGATGTTAGATATTAATTGAGTCTTAAGGCCACCAGAGTGATTATCTCCTTATAAATTGTTAACTACCGCTTAAATATTTTGTCTGTGCACTCCCTCTGTTTCCTTTGGCAAAACCAAATACGCAAAAGCTCTTTACTGCTTTCTTTTTTTTTTCGCTTTTTGTCTTTGTCTACCGTTCCTGCCGCTTCCCCCGCGCGTCTATCTCTGGGATCTTGATCGGCAGTATATCGGTACAAAACGTATCCACAGTGAGGCACTTTCGAGGCCCAGACTTAGCGCTTCCGAAGCCGACGAGCGTCGAAATATGCGAGGTACTCGTGGCAGAGATCCGCGTAGAATTAGCGCGATTAGTAGATGTATCCATCGATAAATAATGACGAAGATGTTCATTGCTGAGCAATATTCTCGTCCCCGAAAACGGAGGACGGATAATCGCGTTCCCCTTTGTTCATCCTTCAGACGTGTCCCTTGATCTTATCGCTACTGTCTGCTACTCGAGTCATCCTGAATTTATCTCTCGATTTCCTTCGACATTGCGATTCTTATTTCCTAATCGATCTACAAGGATTGGTCGTTCATCTTCAGATAAATTATCTTCTAAAGCGGCCTCCGTCTCTTTCGATACGTTCGGGTATTTCAGGTCGCACCGTCGCGGCCCTCGTCTTCACCAACCAGGAAGCGTTATAGACTGTGTCGTGCTCTCGTGTCAACGGCAGCACTCTGTTCTTCTTCTCTGGTTCAGGTGTCGGCGCTCGTTAGGTCAGTTCTGGTATGCCGATTGGCCGACATTATCACGAGTCCTTTGCCGGCTTCCGGCGCTGCTTCGCTCGCGCCGTCGGCGGTGCGCGACCGCTTATCGCGGGATAGAGAGCTAAACTCACTTGTTCCGGGTTACTAGCAGCCGCTTTGCGAATACCTACGTGTTTCGTACTTTGTACTTCGGATTCTAATACCCATTCGTCCGGTTCTCTGTAAGAAACGCAACGACAAAAGAATGAATCATGAGTCTCTCGGATATCGTGCGTATAACTAGTTAAAGTTTATTTTTACACGAAAACTTACATATCTTGAGGATACCACCGCAGTAATACCTTCCTCTTCCCGTCCAATTCGACTCTTCTCGCTAAAACCTGGAAGAGGAAATTTATTGAAGTAAATCAAGTAAATGCATTTTACAATGTTAGCCGTATGATGCGACAATAAATTTCTTACTTGACTAGTTAGTACCATCGAGTTTCCTGGCGTCTCAGCTAGTCGCCCTTGCGTCCTCGATGTCGCTAGTTCCAGTAGCCTGTGCTGGAGACCCTCCATTATTCCCGAGTCAAAGTAATCAAAAAGTCTCGCTGCAAAAAAGATACCGTGATGGAAGAAATCTGTAATCAATGTGGAGTCGTAATGAAAAGACACTCACCTGACCAAGGTTGCCGCCTATATCTAAGCTTCTTGCCATTTCTTCTAACGAGCTTGCCGCCATTCTCGCAACTACGTCTCCCGTTACTGCTGCTCGTTTCCGACTGATTGAAGTGACCATTCACGTGCCTCTCGAGGGCGGTCTGTAAATAAATGTGGATTAGTTTTTGAATATTTTCCTGGACAAAAATCAATGATATGAGGAAAACCCTCATTACCTGAGAGGGCGGTCTGTAAATGAATATGGATTAGTTTTTAAATATTTTCCCGGACAAAAATCAATGATATGCGAGGAAAACACCAACGTTACCTGGGAGCTAAATCTGCAACCGCAACCGTCGACGATGCATCGAAAGGGTTTGTTACCGCCGTGAGACAGAACGTGTCTCTCTAACCATCGCCGGGAACATGACGTCCTACCTTGCACCTTGCATCCCTGCCAATGACAGACGAAATTGTCGCCGCCAGTTTGCGTGTTGATGTGTGCAGCCTATAAAGAATACAAATTGCATAAGTTAGATTTTACATTATTAATAGTAAGTTGATTGTTCGAGTAAGAAATACAAGACTCTATTGATTGATTTTCCAGCATTTTCTGCGAAGGTTAAAGATTTACGGTAAAAAATGTTCTCTCACGTACCTGTAGATGCTCTAAAAGACCACCCACAGACTCGAAGCTGGCTTCGCACTTATCCCAACGACAAATCCCGCTGTCAGTAGCCTGCGGTCTGTCCTTCTCGGGCGCTCGTGCCGGAAACCGAATGGTAGTAGGTGCTGAGAGGATAGGCGACGGTTTCGATTCGCTGCCTCGGGAGTCCTCCTCATCTACATCGTCTTCGTCGACTGGCGCCGATTGGCCATCCTCGCCCTTACTGTCCTCCTTCGACGGCGAGAATAGCCTCGAAATGGGAGAGTCGTGGCCGCTCTGCGACCTTAACGCACCCAGGATACCTCCACAGCTGTTCGTCAGGTTGTTGTTCTCATTCACATGCGGCTTCGCCGCCAAGATTGCCTTGAAGTCCAACGGTTCGTCCAGTAGTGGCGAGGCGGCAGTAGCCGGCGGGGAGTTGCCCTTAGTCGAATTAATACTCGCGTCCGAAGTTAACCTGTTTAAAAAAAAAAAAAAAGAAAAAGTTATTAACCAGAAAACAGCCTTTACTTACCAGAGTGTTCCATTCCTTTCGACTAAAAAAATTACATGTTTGGTGAATTAATTTATAAATCCGAGCTTCACGGAAAGTCTTGGAGACGCTTTGAAGACGTTTTTAAGATATCTTTTAAGGAGGTCCGAAACACGTCTTTGAGACATCTTTTAGACACGCATGTTGCCTGGGAAACTTTTTCTCAATATGCATCTAATAGCAAAAGACTAGATAGTTAAAGATGTATGTCAGAAGTTCAAAGATAACACCATTGTCATAACATTTTGCTGAGATATTCATTAATGTAGTTTGTTTCTACATGTGAAACTCGAAGTCAATTTACCGTAGCGTTTTCAAGAAAATTATTATGAAATATAACTTTGTAAGACGTAGTCTTATAGCGAACAATGCACACATTGACCGTTCATCTATTACAATATCTCATACTAACAAGAGAAAATATATTAATGTAATCTGGAATTGTCAACGACGTCATAAACCGTAAAATATAATTAATTCACCACATAATTTAGGAAAAAATTGATCTTTATTATTGGAACTTGAGAAAATCTCATTCCTATTGATGTTCTGAAACTTGGCAACGAATAAAACGCGTATAATATAAGTGTACAGCCTCCAAAATTAGTTTGTTGTGTAAAACTATTTTTTCTATAAACTTCTAAAATTAAAAAAAGAAAAAAAGAAAAGAATATCAAATAATCTTATTGATAGATAGAGGCCCTTTAAAAAACTTGAGATGATAGTATAAGGTAACGATAAAAATTTAAATTAATTTTGAATTATATATCTTTCTTATTCTGATTTTTTCCAAATTATTATTAATAAAGAAAATTTTTATATTAAAAAAAAAATATTTGAATATTTTGGAAATTTTTATACTCAATTTTTATTAAAATCCATGGACAATGCATACACCAATCATTTATATCTCACCTTTTATTGGTACAAGAAATATTTCTTGTACCAATAAGAATGAAAAATCATTGTTCTTTAGTAGTAAATCTTCCTTCTAACTTCTCTACGGAGAAGATTCATTATAATTTTCCATACTTTTTTTTAATACTTTTCAGTTTTCTTACTTTTATTTGCGTTTTCCTATGCTTTGTTAAGGCTCCTGGGTACTCATCGTGGCCATGTTAGATCGTGACATCAGAGATGAGAAATGACACGCTGAGAATTCTTGCATCCCACTTTTAAATAAAAAAATATTTGGATAAAAAAACATTTCTGATCGCTTTCACACACTTATAAAAAATTCCGAAAACTATCTTTTTCTTTTGATAGTCAAACAGTAAAAATCATAAAATAAATGTAATACGAAGCCTCTCATACAGGCTTATGCGCAGGCGCATGTCAAGGAAAAAGGATAGTTTTCGGAATATTTTATAAGTGTGTTAAAGCAATCAGAAGTGTTTTTCCATCCAAATATCTTTTTATTTAAAAATGGCACGCAAGAATTCTTAGCGTGTCATTTCTCGTCTCTGACGTCACGATCTAACATAGCCGTGGCGAGTACCCAGAAGTCTTAACTCAAATATGAATGCAGTGGCGATTATAAGCCAGGATGACCAATTTGACTGTTTAGAGCGATGTTGCCAAATTTCATAATATAATGTAGGTTTTGCAACAATATCCTAAACAGCATTATGTCCAAAATCGGGACACAAGACGTCTTTAAGACGTCTTTTAGCCATCATTTCGTAAGACGTCTAAAAGATGTCTAAAAGATGTCTTTTAAACGTCTTATGTGTTCCGATTTTGGACATGCGTGCTCTCTGGGATAACTCTTTTTTCAGAGTTAAAGTAATGCCGATATTTATTAATATGCGTATAAAATAATGTATTAAACACATTGAATGTTCCTAACAGGGCTGGTGATTTGCTTCGAAGGCTTCGATATTCGAACTTCGACATTAAAATCTTCGAAAATCGAAGTTTCGAAGCTTCGAAGAATCAAAATTACACAATTATTAATTTAGTGTAATAGTAATAGTACCACAATAAGCACACATTTATAAAATTATATGACAAAATCTGAATGAAATTTCTAATGTTGCAATTATGTCGCTTATGTCGCAAATATATTTTTCGAAGCTTCGAAAACACCTTAAAGTAAATGTACCAATGCCGGGACACTTATAATCTATGTCTGGACACCTTTATCATTTTAGTTTTTAAATAAATATAACGCGAATTAAAATTAAAGATAAAATTATAATACACGCAAAATATTTTTGTCTTTGATTCTTTGATTTTAATTCACGTTATAACTTATTTAAGGATTAAAATGATAAAAATGTCCAGACATAGGTATGTATCCAGGCATTGGTACATTTACCTTAACCCTTAAATGCCACACCTCTCAAGAATCTCGTAAATGACACATGGGGTCTAAAAGGCCCCAGCATGAAAAATGTCTCCTTACTCATTGATTTTTTGATATTTAGTTATGAAAATTATGTTCAATGTTATTCAAGGCTTAGAAAAGAGAATAAAATGCTTATATTGTTAAAATTTCAATTTCAACATAGTATAAAAAATTAAGTAAACTGAGTACTGTTAAGTGTACAACCGGGTAGGTCAATCACTCAACTATCATCAATGGGAGCATGAGCTCCATTTTTGGGGGGAACATTTGAAAATATATCATTCTAAAGGGTCTGGGGTCCGCTGGACCCCGGGTGGCATTTAAGGGTTAAAGATGCATTCCACTTAAGGCCCGCAACGTGAACATTATTTGTCTTTATTTAACATTTGACAAAAAAACAAGGATGAAATGATTCTAAGAACGTTGCGGGCGAAGTGGAACGTGCCCTAAACTTCGAAAGTTCAAAGTTAACTTCGAAGCTGTCGAAGAGTAACAGCCCCAGTTCCTAATTCTGGCGATAAAAAAAATAATCCAAAATACGAATTTTGTGTTTTATAGATTAGTAATGAAATCAAGAGAGCTTCTGTACTTTATTTTATAAATTAATTTCTTCAAAATTAGCTATTTCAAAATTAGTAATTCATTCAGAAATGAATAACAAACTGAAAATAAAAATGATACTTACGCTGAGAAACCATTCTGTAATTTAATAACAATTATTTTGCTGTCTTAAAATTTATCGAATGCAGTGCCCTGATTCTGCAACTCTTAACGACATACAGTGTCGTTATCGCTGTATTGCCGTTGCGCAGATATATGGTAAAAATGCTACACGACAATATAACGATAATGTCGTTAGAGCCCGATAATGTCTGTAACTCTAACGACAATATAACGATACTGTCGTTAGAGTTACAGAACAGGGCCGCGGATGGTCATTTGACTAGAGAAGTGCTACCATACATCTTTAAATTGACTAGCTAATCAATCAGCATTATTGCGTTAGGGCGTGCTGCGGACACGAAATCCAATATCTTTACCTAAGAGGTGAGATCTTGGGCAGATTTTTCAGCACGTCGTTCGAGATTGGCAGAATTGGCAGCGACTTCGGCAGCTTCTTGTCTATCTTACCGTTGGCCCTCGGCACGATGACCACCGGTACCTTTTTCGTGTTTGTCGACGTCAACGTCCTCACTTCCCAGGGCTCGTTGGTCATGGTATTCTGGTTCGCATTGGGCGACACGGTGCCCAAGTATTTAGCAAGGCCGCCCTTGTTCCTCTGCACCACGGGTGGCCTTCGAAATTCCGACGAGCTCTTCGCTACCAGCACCATTTCGTTCGTTTTCTTTATCTGTCAATAGAAACATAACAGTAAAATTTCAGTACTATTGTACTATTTATTTAGGCATACTGTGCGAGAATATCATATCGAAAATAATCAAACATTAACTTGGCATTTCCCAAAAGAGATAAAAATAAAGTAACTTTTTCGTTAACGTCCACATTAAATAAGTAGGGAGATAGCAAATATAGATACTGTTCAAATATGATGTATGACGTCCTCAATATTTTCCAGGAAATATCTCAGTAACATTGAAAGAAATATATGTTTGCTAAGGGCCGGTCTACAATCAGTCGTATGTCGGAACCGTCGGAACGTAGCCGATGGTCCAATGAAGAAATTTGTTTTCAAAAAATTCTCTTATTGGACCATCGGCTGCGTTCCGACATCCAATTCCGGCATACGACTGATTGTAGAACCGGTCTAAAAAGAGATTACTGCAGTATAATGCAGATAATAGCAACATTGAAATAGTCGTATACCGGACAAAAAATTCGACAAATATTTCGAATAACTTGTCTTACTTCTCTTCCTGCTTCTTGTAATCGCGATGTTAGCCGAGATTTGATCATAATAAAATGAGCGAGACACATTTAGCGTTAAACGCGCGATGCGGTGTGAAACGCGAATTATCGAGACCGTGCCACGTCAAATTGCCGATCGATAGGACGAGAGCAATTTCCGTGAATTAATATCAACCTATTGGAAAGACCTACACGCGGGTTTGTTAAAAAAGGCTAATTCAATATCCGATAAACGCGTGCTCGCTGATAAGATGAGTCTGTATCTGAAGTGTTCACGCGAAGTAAAGCCGGTCGATACCTTCAACACTTCTGTTACATTGCGTTGGTTTTCATCGGAGAAGCACTTTCTTCCGCCACTATTCCTTTGGTTTATCTGACTTCTACGTACCGTTAAACAAACGATGAGTGTTGACTGATCTTGCAACAATCAACTTTATATATTTCTACAACCCTTAGATAAAATTTTTCCCGAAGTTCGGATAAAATGAAGATTGATCATCCATCCATTTGTGCTTTTGAAACCTGAAAGACATTGAAAAATCTCCAGAGTCTCATACAACTCTCTCTTAGAATTCGAAATCTGTCAATGCCTTCGTGTTCGAGTGGCTACCTAACATAGATACCGACTGCGACTCATTCAAAAGTAAACCTTACTACAAAGCTCACATTTCTTTCAAAATATAAAGAGACAGTGGGTTGGGCACATGGGCAATCGAGAACTCATTTTTTACGAAAAGATCTCTCCAGAATCCGCCAAGGGATTTGTGCCTCCGACATCTTTGTCTTTTCGCACAAAATACATGGATACAGTTTTTTCTTGACACATTTATTCGCTTCTATCTCGAGTGAGACACCAACCTTCGGCTGCTGCGGCTTAATCTGCGTCTTAAAGTACTCCGTGATCTTGCCCTGGGACTCGTGGTGGTGTTGGCCGCCCGTGATCTTTCCGTTCCCCTTGACGGCCCCCCTGGAGGTGGGATCGGCGGCGCCGGAGCGCGGGAGAGCGCCAGCCTCAGGTTCGCCCCTCAGCCTCTTGAATGCGGTGGTGGAGCAGGCGGTCGCCGCCAACGGTGGGGTCCAGGGCCATTGGGGCCTGGTACCGAGCTGCGACGACGGCGCCAGCTTGGGTAGAGACGGCAACGGACTGGCGGATGTGCCGCGTACCGCGGCTACCCCCTCGTCGCTGCTGGTGCTGCACGGCGACCCTGGTTCGGTGATATCGCTGGTGCCGCTGCTGCTGCATTCTCCGCAAGACACCGCGACTCCACTGCGACAAACGAAGAAAAATAGTTTAATGGAAAATCCTTCGGGGAAGAAACGCGCTCGCAAAATTCGCGTATCGCGACGAAGTTCGCCCGAATTTTAATTCATTTGATTATTATTGCATAGTATTTTGCTGTTATTAGAATATAATGTATTCCAGGTCTCTATCGTATTATTTTTTTAATGGCACGTTTCTCAATTGATGAATATATAAGTGGATAAATGTGGGATAATTTCTAGACAAGGAATTAGAATTAATAACTAGCGATACCGAGGCATCTTTTATAACATATCAATATAGAAGCATAGTCATTATGATTGATTACAGTCAGCTTGTAACAAGCTGCACGATTCGATAATGAGGCAAAAATCCCCTACGCGACACCACCTACTGCGTTTAACACAGCACAATGTGAGGTATCTCGTTACGGTTGTATTACGCCCGATCATTATGTCGGCAGAAATTCCGTGTACGTCGTCGTGCAACGCCCCATTACAAAGTGGTGGTACAATTTATCCGAATGAAGATGGGGGGCTCATCCACCACCCATCGCACACCTCGTCACGCTTCGACCCCCCCCCCCTCTGTTATTTTTCCCCCCATGGATCCAAGCGAGACCCGAGTCGCCGGTGGTCGGTCGATCGCTCTCGGTCCAGAGACCAAAAGCAAACAGCTTTCGTGGCAACCGCGAAGCGCCACGAAGGGAACCGGTTGGAGACGACAAGCGGCGGCGGCGGCGGCGGCGGCGACCACGAGGAAATTGCAAGCTTACCGAGTAATGATGTTACCACCAACGCAAACCTAATTACAGGCCTAGACATTGCCAATCGGCCTGGCCCGGTCGCCGTCGTCGTTTGGGGGGTTCCAGTATCGCGGCTCGGCGACCCGTTTTGGTAACTTGCAGGCAAATAGAGGTGTAGGAGACACATATGGGCGATGAAAAGCGGTTTCGGGAAATTTGGCTTCAAACTTTTTAACAGCGATTTAATTTTTGCAAAAAAGTTGTCGCTTCGCCGGGTGTGTAAAGCTGGCGTATCATTTCGCAGAGAGAATTAATTAATTACATATATTATTAGTGCACACAGAAGTTATGGAAGATATGAGTTTAAGGTATATGATAGGTTCTGGAATATAAGGTTTACAGAGAGAATGCATTGATTTAGAATTCAAGTTTTATAAGTTTTAGGATGCAAGGAATGTTATTTTAAAGATAAAGTGAGATATTTGTTCTTCCTGGGTTTAAAGAAGATTTGAGAAGAATTTAGAAATATATGGAATATTAATATTAGTTGTTGCGCGTTGTTGTATGAAAATGTGTGTGTGTGCGTGTGTGTGTGTGTGTGTGTGTGTGTGTAGATGAATAATGTCCGTTTCTTGGCCTACTGCTGAAGCGGACTAGGTTCAATATTTTTGAGTTTAGGTTATGAGTTTAACGTGCAAATAATGGGTTTAGTCGTTTAAGGTTCAAAGGATGGTTTTTCTAAAAGAAATTTAAGAAAGTACGGAATAATGAATTAACAGTTGCACGCGTTAAGTTAAAAAAGTTGGTAAAGGTGTGTCTAAGATATATTGTAAACCAAGTCCATTTCTTGGCTTTTTTGTAGTTGAAATTAAATAAATCTAAATCTATCTATATTATTAGTGCACTAACTTTTTTATTTCTATTTATTTTAGTTCTATAATTCTGGATAGAATAAACACAAAATTCTGGCCGACATTTAAAGCGAGATATTGCTTGAAAAATAAAAAAACAGATAACGCGTTTATCGCTACGATTGTAAAAATACGCAGCGTGTAAGCGCGTATGCGAACAATGAGGTTTTTTATCCCGCAACTTTCGCATTATTGTATCTTCTAAAAAAAAAGTTCGCTAAAAACCATCGAGCATCACTTCTCGAATTCGCGAACAGGTCAGCTTCGGTCTTGCGCAAAAAGCCCGCGTTCGCGGTCGTTTTGTCGCGTATCAGTGGCCGTAAATTATCCGGTCGGCTATAAAGTGACCGAAAACGAGGAAAAAAACCAACAATTCTTCAGCGCCGTTCTCTCGCGTTTGTCGGATAAGGCCAATCGTCGATCTGCCTCTCCCGACTTTCCGCCTGGCGGGATATTTCGGACAACGTCCGTCTCGCCGCGAATCACAATGTCGAGGGAAAGAGACACTGACCTTTCCACGCTGTGATAGCGCGCGCTATACCGTTTTACGCAACACGCGTAGCGTAGTGTGTATGTCAGTTAGTCGGTCTCCGACGACAAGCGGCGGGGAGACATAAATGTCGTTAATCGACTTTAATACTGATTGTGAGTCACCTTGCCGAATTTCAAACTACTTACTTATACACCGAACTCGTTGTTACCTGTACATAAATTAAAAGCGTACGACTATATGCGAGGCAACGAGCAGCCTGCTGACCTGTGTGTAGAGTTAAAATTCTTATCTCGGAACATTTGGAGACAACTACCATCGTTAACTGTTAATGGAATTCTAACGATCCCTATAAATGCTTCAAATACTAACAGGATAAGATAACAGTTTCAAAAGCATGTGTTTTTAAATACACATAGATAGAAATTGTTCTACGTGCTCATCTTTCCCCGATCTTTCCCAAAACTTCTCCGAATAACAAATGTGACGTTAATGATGCATCCGCCAAGACAGGCAACCAATTAAAATGAAATTAGATTTTAATAGGCCTCTGGATAACATGCTTTCGCTGTCTACGTGATTCTCTGTATAGAAAGACATACGATCGCACGTTCTCCTATAGAGCGAGGAACAATACCTAAGCGCCTAAGCGCGTTTCGTTTTCAGATACACGGTCGTGCGAGATGGATATACACATATGCGTGTACATGCGAAACTGATTTCGTATAGCAGCCGCGCGTTACGCCTTTATCGGGTTCTCGCGTATGCGCCGCGTGCGAAAATCGAGACGGCCATCGGCGTTAATGCAGACGCTCATGCATTATACATCCCCATGTTAATTGCATAACACGCTCTCTCTCTCTCTCTCTCTCTCTCTCTCTCTCTCTCTCTCGCGCGCGCGATAATGACGGGAATAAATGATATTTACAGCGGCGTCGGCGGACGCCGAGCGATTTTATCGCGCGAGGCAGCTTTCGCATAACTGACCTACGTCCATTTCGCCGGCCCTTGGCCGTGGTCATGCCGATGTACGCGCGCGCAACGACGGTACAACACAGAATTCCGCCCTTTCCGCTGGAAATCGCTGGAAAGGGATGACAGCGGATGGGAGGGACGCGGAACGGTACATCGACCTGTCTATATCAGTCCTCGGTGCGCGACGATCTTGGTCGCCATCAGGGCCCGGTATAACTCGCAGGAAATTGAATGGACGGACGGATGGGCCGCTTGAAAGTACTCTTCGAGGACTGTGGAGGGTTTCTCTCTCTCCCTCTTTCATTAGCCTTCTAAGTGTCAACTTCAATAAACTGAGACGGAGTCCGTATTCCCGAAGCGACTTTAGCATCAAAATATGTAGGCAATAATAAAAAATTTTGTGTTCGGTTAATCACAAATCGGCAGTGTTCGCGGATTTTTCTAAATTTTGTTAATATAGTTTCAGGTTTCTCCCGCTATCCGAAAGTAGAATGTTTCTACGAAACCTTTCGTAAGCCGAAATGGCGTGAAGCAAACAAGCAATTACATTTTTTTCGTAAAAGCGACGGAATTCCTCGTCGGATTTCTTTCGGTTAGCGAAAACAGGTACTAATATAGGCCTTTCGTAAAAACTAATTGGCGTAAAGCAAACTTTCGAAAAGCGGGAGATACCTGCAATTGTTGATACGTATAAGCTCTAAATATAATTATAGAAATATTTGTTTATAAATATTAAAGAAAAAGAGAAAAATAACAAATAATACCTGTATTCTTCCGTATTTGTAAAGACTTGCTCAGACTTTATCAGTTTAATTTAACGATTTTAGTTGTTGCTAAATTAATATAAATTTTCAATGCTACATCTTGCGTTCGCGTCGAGGAGTCTGCCGGAATAGAAGGCATCGACTATACGACTACGGCATTCGAGCAAGTACAACGGCCTCAAACAAGACGTTTCGCCGTGCCATACATAATTAGACTTCAACCGGTAATCTTCTCGAGGCTTTACATAATGTATTAGCGCGCGGCTCGATGTGTCCGGCGCGGTCGCGCGTACGTGCGAGTTAGCGAATTAACGTGACTCAAGCTGCATAAACGCTTGAAAAAGTGGCGAACGTTCTCGGCGGTGCGGCGGCGAAAATAGTCACACGTGCGATCGGCGCCGGATGGCTTGGTGCGTACGCTCACGTGCATGAGAAACCTCTGTTGGAATCCGTGAAGTCACGGACGCGCGAGATGAATGAAGTGCAGTTCGCCGTCGAATGCAGACACATTGGCAGGTGACACACTTTGCACGCACGATGTAACGCGGCGCGCAATATCACTACGCGAAACATCATTTTGATATTACCATTCGCATAGTCATCTGACTATAAATAGTCCTCGGCTACAATAATCCTCCGTAATTTTAATCTGATTATTATATATAATGTATTTTTTTTCGATTATACAAGCCTTAAAATACAAGTTAAATAAAACTTTGTTACAAATACGAAAGATCTATCATCTCTCTTTCTTTAATATGTCAAAGGGAGTTTTGTTTAACATATTATTGACTTGAGGCGCATCAACTCATCTTTTGCCTGAATGTTATTGACCGACGACGACACTCGTGTTTAGAGAGGCATACAGTCTAAGTCATCGTGCGCAGTTGTTAGACCTTAAAATTGACAAAGCTTTCATTATAGGATTTGTGACTTGCAATTTTTGCTAGCAGAGAATGGTTTGCTAGCAACTGAGCGTTCTGATGAATGCAGTCCCAAACCTGATCTTTTTTTTTGCAGTTTTCAAAAGAGTTCCCTTTCCTTCCACAAAGAGATCCATCTTGCCGATTATCAGGTAAAATAAAAGAACATGTTCTAAAGAAAATCATATTCACAGGACT